CTGGGGGGGGGGTGTGGTGCTGTGCTGGTTGTGGGGACTGTGGGTTGGGAGTGAGGGGTGCATAGGGAGGTGCTGGACAGGGCAGAGAAAAGGCTGTTGTGACCCAGAAGCAAGTGAAAGGGGAGAAGCGCCCTTTTACTTGAAGCGCCTTTGCCTTTATGGAAAAATAATTATTACAATTTTATTTGTATGATGAATTAATAGCTTTATCTGAGCTAATAAGCCCTAAAACTTCTCCTATAAAAGTATTAGAATTTATATCAAGAAATGATTTTTTCACTCCAAACACTGCTTATAACATTACGCATTCTTTTAACATGACCAGTATCAGTGGCTTCTGGTGAGTGCAGTTTCTCAAAACTGAAATTATTAAAAAATTATTTGAGGTCCACCATGTTTCAAAATCGTTCGTCAGGACTCGCATTAATTTCAATTGAAAGTACCATTGCAAAAAATTAGATTTTACTGAATTATTAAAAGGCTACGCAAGTATAAAAACCAGAAAAATTCAGTTCATATAAAACTTTTAATTTATGAGAAACTGGGTGCACCGGAAGACACTAATGTTTTTCATTACAGTGTATAGTTGAACTCAAATGGTTTGTAATTGTGATTTTGTTAAAATTAAATGAGTACACTAGCAGGAAATTGTTTTATTTCACTAACTACACATTTTCTGTTTTCATTTAAAAAAAAATTTAAACAGTCAAAAACAAAACAAAACAAAAACATTCCAAAGTGCAAACATGTAAAAGCCAACAAAAAAGGAGGGGGATGGCCAAAAATTTTTTTGCTTGGGGTGGCAAAAAACCTAGAGCTGGCCCTGTCTTTTCTAGCTCCTTTTTCTTACTTCAGCTGTGCTTTGACTTTCAATATACTACACAATAGCATAGTTAGCAAAGTTACAGTTTTTAGCTTGCCCTCCACAGAATCACCTTCAAGCCTCAGGTCCTTTTACTGTTACCTGACACCATTGGAACAAATCTGGCTTGTGACAGAGGCCAGGTGAGTCCCCAAGGGTTAGTCTTCTGTTTCATTTTCTACAGTTGGTTGCTAACTGTGAGACCATTTGGCAGCTGCAGCCTTCAAGTCTTCAAATAATTAGCTCTTGCTAAGATAGACAGTGATTTTAGAAAGAAAGTACAGAAGAAGTGTTACAACCACCCCCAATCTATCATTTATGCAACATGCCCTACTTAGGAGTAGTTGGAGGAAATTTTGTTAGACATTTAGATGTGTGTTCTCAGAAAACTGCTGTTTATAAACTGTAGCTTTCCTACAATTTTTAATTCCCTACAGAGTATTTCCATATTCCAGAAAAAGGTAAAACTTAAAGAATCGGGGTATATTACTGATGTTATAAAGAGCAAAAGCCAGTATTCTCAGTAGCAGTATTATTATAGATGTGGCAGTATTCACAGAAATTAAGCTGTTCAACAAAACAAAACGATTATTTAAATATTATTTTTCCTTTAGAATTTCTATGGTTCTGTGATAATTGGGGGAGGGGATAATACAATTTTCTGGACATTTCAACCATTCACTTATCTAAAGTGTTTTCTTAGTAGTTAATGCTTTAGATCTAACACTAATTGTTTTGCCTGTAAGGAGATAAAACCATGGACAGTGGGTCCTAAAAAGTTCCCAGGAAAGCAAGGAAAGCAAGAAGTGAGTTGGCAAGAGGCAAGAAGAGCCAATGGAAATAGAGTGTGGGCTTCTAAACTGGAAGCAGTGGCCTTTCCTGTTCCTGTTGTGCAGCCAGAGAAGAGCCTAGGAGGACATTAAAAAAGCCAGAGAGCCAGTCAACTTCCATTCCTAGGGAAAGGCTAAGTTTTAAAACTACAGATATGTGAATACAACAGGGAATGTTTCGTCAGACTCAATTAGGTTATTTTCTTTATTTGGGGGTTTGTTGGACTTCTCTAGGCTGAGCCAAGTATCTACCCTCTTACATTATAACTTTCCAGGATGAATCCCAAGGAAGCAAATTCTCCAAATTTATAATCTTTTCAAAAAAAATCTGCTCCATAACACCTAGGAAATAAGAAATGTTTCACCAAGTTTGTTTCTTTTTTTTTTTCTGTTTTGTTAATAAAAATCACCCTTTAAGACCATGATCTGATTTCTGTGTCCTAGAAGGTAGGAGGTTCTGTGTTCATGTGCCTAAGACTGAGCCACCAAATTACTAAGAGAAATTAAAGTTCCCCTTTCAGTTGATTGCAATAGCTAAGTTTCCAGAGGCAGGGTTAAAAGAACTTGAGGGTACCTCTCACGGGAAGGAATTCCCACATGCACCTTCCTGGATTTTAAAGGGATATTTGCATTTGGGTGATGGCAGCGATACCAATCCAATGCGAGGGAATCTGAGACACTGGGGAGTTTTAACATAAGCATTTAGTAGCAAGGTATTTTTAAAAGTCTCTTGTGGGCAGCCTCTTTTGGCACTCAAAGTGCCCAAGTGGGGAACAGCTTTGACAGACCCCCATGAATACTGAAAGAGTATGTTTCAGATAACTTGACATATATTCAGGATAAAGTATACAGCTCACTTAGGGTATGTCTACACTACCACCCTAGTTCGAACTAGGGTGGTTAATGTAGGCAACCGGAGTTGCAAATGAAGCCCGGGATTTGAATTTCCCGGGGTTCATTTGCATATTGCCGGGCGCCTCCATTTTTAAATGTCTGCTAGTTCGGACTCCGTGCCTGCAGCTACACGCGGCACGAACTAGTTAGTTCGGATAGGCTTCCTATTCCGAACTACCGGTACACCTTGTTCCACGAGGAGTAACGGTAGTTCGGAATAGGAAGCCTACCCCAAACTACCTAGTTCGTGCCGCGTGTAGCTGCGGGCACAGAGTCCGAACTAGCAGACATTTAAAAATGGCGGCACCCGGCAATATGCAAATGTAGCCCGGGAAATTCAAATCCCGGGCTTCATTTGCAACTCCGGTTGCCTACATTAATCACCCTAGTTCGAACTAGGGTGGTAGTGTAGACATACCCTTATACATTTGCTACACAAATTCATGGTGATAAAAGCTTTCTATTCTCTTTCCCACCACCCAGAAATAATAAAAAAATACACAATACTTAAATTGAAAGGATTTAAAAGTAAGAATTTTGGATCGGTGCATTGGCAAAAGGAGGGCACAGCACTGAGTGACTTAGGGAGATTATCCCAAACAAGTGTAAATACAATATTTATAGCACTCCACTTAGCCAGGTATTTTGTATAGCTATTAAATGTTACAAGGAAATGATTTTATGAACGTTTTAGAGTAGATAGTTAAACACTGAATTGGGGACTCTACTTGCAAAGCCAGGTGCCTTAATCATCATTAGGCCAATCATGTAGAATTTAGAGGGGCACCAAGTTCCAAAAATGATTTAAATTAGCTCTTTTATACTTAATGTCCCAAATTAAACAAACTCTGATATGTTGGGCCAGAGTGACTGCTGGACCCTATTGGCAAACCGGGGACTCCATTTTCTGATGATATGTTTCTTGTTAAGATTTTCCAAAGTGAAAAGTAATTTTGAGCACCCACATAAATCAAGTTGCAGGGACCCAATTTTCACTAAGGGTATGTTCAGCACTTCCTGAAAATAAGCTCCCTTTATGGCATCTTAGCCAGACACCCAACATTAGTGGGCATTTTAGAAAACCTTGGCCCCTGGTTTTGGTCCTACATGGTCAAAAATTACAAGATTTTAATTGTGCCTTTTTTATTTCTAGAAATACCATCACTGGCTCAAAACTGAATCCTGCCAGTCTTGAGCTTTGGACAGGAGTGCTTTTGGAGGCTAACTCTACATTTAAGGGAAGTGCAAGAAATATTCCTCTGAAAGGTCTAATTTACTAAAAGCTTT